TGCAGGATACTTTGACAGGCAGAGGCTGGGAATAGTTTGTTTATAAGCTCAGAATCGGTGCGAGTTGGCAGGTATTTAGGAGCACCATTCATGTAACTGTCATACACAACAGCTCTGGCCATGAAAAGGTCAGAATGCCTTTCTGGATTCTTAATTGCACCTCATGGCTTTTGGATGCTGCAGTTTTTTTTTTTCTGATGTTAACCTTCCTGGCGGTGTTCCCAAGTGTAGCTCGGGGTTAATTATCCCCTCCCTCCTAGATTGTAAGCTCCAAGGAGCAGGGCCCTCCTTTCCCCCTTGTATTGAACTGTATTGTTGCTGTATTGTCTCCCGTTATATTGTAAAGCGCTGAGCAAATTGTTGGCGCTATATAAATCCTGTATAATAATAATAATTATCAGTGCCAAAAGCCGTAACCCTGAGCTACATTTGGGATTACCCTACAGCGTTGCTCTGGGATTCCCTCGATCATTTACCTTGTCCTGCACTCCCACAATGTGTCCCCTGCAGCGTCCCCGGCCATCTCTCCGCAATGCCGGCATCCGTCTTCCAGGTTCCGTTCCCTGCAAGCGTCAGGACGTACGGGGGACGGAACCGGCGGGAAATTTAAAAATTTAAAAAAGTGACATTCGCTAATACACTAAAATCACATAGTAAAACATTACTGTTTGAAACCATTTCACATACATTTTGTTCCTACTGCTTTGTCCTGTGCCCTGCCTGCATTTTTACTGTTCTTTCTGCCTGGAAACTGAGAAATGTCCATGGTGTCCAAAAAGCGTCCCTTTATGTCAAAAGCGGTTTTAAACCAGCTAGAGAACAGCGATAGTAAATTAGAACTACTTGCAGAATTGAGTGATGATAATTCGTGGGGAAAGTCGTCATCAGACACGGAAAACGATTTTGCGACTTTGCTCAGTGATGTGCGAACTTGGCGCTCTATTTCAAATTTCAGTGTTTTTGGTTTGATTATATTATTGAATTAAATTTATTATGATATTTTTTATGATTATTATAATTTATCATTTTGTGTTTCAAATGTTATCATACCCGGATGTTTACTAGACTCTTGTTCGGACAGATTTCAGTGAGTTATTCCTAAAAATTACAGGCCTACAATAAAAAGACATATTGCCATGCAAAAAAAGTACCGTTTTCAGCACAGAAATATTGAAATAATCATACCGCTAGGGAGGTTAAATGACACAAATCTAAAAGTAAATCAAGATAAATCCCTGAAGCCATGAAGTCAGATTACTGCTGACACTAAACTTTTGAAGCTCATATTTGCTGAACTTAATAGATGCTCAGTTTCTGCTTCCTTTACCAGTAATCACTTTGCAAAAAAACGCCCACCTGTCCAAAGCCCCCTAATTTTATTTAAGCTAGAACTCCGACCCCCCCCCAATACCTCACCCAGGTGCTTATGTACCTCTCCGTACAGTGGTCTCCTCCAGTGTTTACAATTTTGATCCAGAAATACATTGCACAACAAATTAAAGGAAAACTTTGTAATGAGAGTATAGCATCAAGTCAATTAAACTCCTGGGATATTAATCTGGTCAGTTAAGTAGCAGAGGGGGTTGTTAATCAGTTTCAGCTGCTTTGGTGTTAATGAAATTATCAAGAGATGCACTAGATGGGCAACAGTGAGACGACCCCTTAAACAGGAATAGTTTTACAAGTGGAGGTCACTTACATTTTTTCCCTACTCAACTTTTCTGACTGTTTTTCACTAGTTTTACATTTGGCTAGGGTCCGTGTCACTACTGGTAGCATGAGGCGATACCTGAACCCTACAGAGGTTGCACAGGCAGTCCAACTCCTCCAGGATGGTACATCAATACGTGCCATTGCCAGAAGGTTTACTGTGTCTCCCAGCACAGTCTCAAGAGCATGGAGGAAATTCCAGGAGACTGGCAGTTACTCTAGGAGAGCTGGACAGGACCGTACAAAGGTCCTTCACCCATCAGCAGGACTGGTATCTGCTCCTTTGTGCAAGGAGGAACAGGATGAGCACTGCCAGAGCCCTACAAAATGACTTCCAGCAGGCTAATGGTGTGAATGTCTCTGACCAAACAATCAGAAACAGACTTCAAACAATCAGGGTGGCCTGAGGGCCTTACGTTCTCTAGTGGGCCCTGTGCTCAGGGCCCAGCACCATAGAGATCGATTGGCATTTGCCATTGAACACCAGAATTGGCAGGTCCACCACTGGCGCCCTGTGCTTTTCACAGATGAGAGCAGGTTCACCCTGAGGACATGTGACAGACGTGAAAGGGTCTGGAGAATCTGTGGAGAACATTATGCTGCCTGTAACATCGTTCAGCATGACCGTTTTAGTGGTGGGTCAGTGATGGTCTGGGGAGGCATATCCATGGAGAGACGCACAGACATCTACAAGCTAGACAATGACAATGACACCCTGACAGCCATATGGTATCGGGATGAAATCCTTGGACCCATTTTCAGACCCTAAGCTAGTGCAGTGGGCTATGCCCGGCCTCATATGGCGAGAGTAGGCAGGCAGATTCCTGGAGGATGAAGGATCTGATACCATTGAATGATCCCAGACAACACCCCACCCCCGCTCGCCTGACCTAAATCCAATAGAACACTGGGATGTCACGTTTCAGTCCGTCCGACACTGCCAGGTTGCACCTCAGACTGTCTAGCTTAGTGATGCCCTGGTCCAGATCTGGAAGGGAATACCCCAGAACACCATCCGTCGTCTCATTAGGAGCATGCCCCGACATTGTCAGGCATGCATACAAGCATGTGGAGGCCATACAAACTACTGAGGACCATTCTGAGTTGCTGCAATGAAATTTCAGCAAAATGGACTAGCCTGCTGCACCGTTTTTTCACTTTGATTTTCAGGGTGTCTTTGAATTCAGTCCTCTGTAGGTTTCATTTCCATCAAACAATGGGGCATCCTTACGTTCCTAACACATTACCCATCCATATCAGTATAGATATCCAGCATGATATTTTTCCCCATTATCTGATTTATTTTTAAAGTGTTCCTTTTTTTGAGCAGAACATTTTCTCGTACTGAATGTGCCTCCTCACTAACTCCTCCATAGATTTAAAGTGGTTGTAAAAGATCAAGGTTTTTTACCTTTATGCATGGAATGTGTGGAACACTTCCCCAATACTTAACTGAGCCCCATCGCGATACAGACATGTTCACGAGAACCTCAGCTGTCCTGGGTCAATGAGATGGAGGGGCGAGGCCAAGCTGTGGATTTTTGTGTGAATGGACACACAGAGCAGCAGCTTGGGAACGTGCCTGCTAAGGTGCCCCCATAGCAAGCTGCTTGCTATGGCGGCACCTCTCAGGAAGGAGAAGTCAGGATCATCGGCGGGGGACCCGAAAAGAGGATTCGGGCTGCATTGTGCAAAACCACTGCGCAAAGCAGGTAACCATAACATGTTTATTTAATAAATAAAAAAAAAAAAAAGTGAACCTTCTTAGTATCACTTTAAATGGGGACATATATGTAGCATCACCATTGTAGGGATAAGGCCAGTTCATATTAATGGGGGGTTACTGCACAGGTGCTGCTAAAGGAAAGAGATTATGCATCTGAGAATGGAAACACCAGAGGAGGTGCTACTGTCAGGGAGAAATAACTAATCATCTAAGGTTAGGAAACTTGAGGTTTTTTTTTTTTTTGGAAAGTGAACTTGTACTTTAAAAGATGAACCCCAGAAAAGGGGCCAAATACACAGTTGACATTTAAATTTGAAGCCAGTCTTTGGTTTTAGATGCTCCTGCTAGACAGTATGACCAGGTTTGTGTCCTTCCTTCTCCGCTGCAGTTGAAACAAACCAGTTAAGAGATAAATATGGGGGCTGCCATTGCTGACTAGTATTTAAGGGCTTGTTCACACCAGCCACTGGTGTATAGTGCTATCTGGCTGAGACCAGATGCAGTGAGCTTGGCGCAGTGCACTATTTCCTTTTTTTTTTTTTTTTTTAAAAAAGCATACTTTGTTGTGATGTCTCCATTCCAGCACAGAAAAATAATTCAGAATAATATAACTGCCTGCAGTCACCACAAATAACCTACTGTGTGTGTTGTTTCTATTTCACATAACAGGATCACTTTCAGGTACAGTGGATTTAGTAAAGGCTCCTTTTTATACAGAGTTGGCCCAGTTAGTTTGATTTTTTTAGTATGACACACTTTTATTGCAAACAGAACAAGCTGGATATGAAAGTGCTTGCTGCAGGTATGGTTTATTATATGCAATGGGGAGCAGTGTCAAATTAAAGTTATATTTGACCTTGCCACCCTGGGTGACCCAAATTTGCATGGATTAGGGTTCCGCTTTAGTGAATAATTCAGTGGGATTGTAATAATAGGAAAGATGAATGTGTTTTTAATATTCCAGTTAAAAATATCTCATTTCTGTTGCAGGTTATTGGGCTTGTATGAGATGGAAGCTAATGCAGGAGAGGAGGGCATTCACTTTCAAAGCTATCCTTTTGATTTCCTAGAATTTCTTAACCACCAGCGCTTTGAACCTATGGAACTGTATAACCACCATGAACATGCTAAAGCTGTAGCTGCCCTCCCTTGCACTTCACCTCAGTATGATTACACCCACCAGTCCCAGACTAACAGTATTCAGGTCACTCCTGCTGGCATTTCTAAACCGAAAGAATTCAAAGTAGAACTTCCTTCTTCTGTGTCTCCCATTAAAAAATCAGAACCTGTACAGTTGCAACAATATAACGTCCAACCTTCAATCTCTAACGCACAAACTATCTTTGATGGAACATTTAACTCACAGCAGTGGGGAATTGTTGATCTTTCTAGCCATCAGCATCTTTTCAACAACTTAAAACGCTCCTTACCAGTAACACAGCAGGCGCAAGCTGAAGAGGAAACAAAAGACGATAAAAATTACTTCCGTCGCCTGAAGTATCTAATCGATCGTCGTTTCCCCTGTACTGTTTGCCAGAAGTCTTTTAAGCAGTCATCACATCTAATGCAGCACATGCTGGTTCACACAGGGGAGAGACCCTATGAATGCAATGTTTGTGGGCGTACGTACAATCATATCTCCAGCCTCATAAGACATAGACGCTGCCATAGAGAGGAGACTGGAGCGGATATAAACAGTTCACTGGCAAACACAGATGTTGAGACTGCTGCTGCAGCTGCTGTAGTGGCAGCTGCCACAGCTGCAATGTCCGCTCCTCAGGTGGGGTCTGGGGAAGTTCCTGTAGCAGGGGCAGAGCAAAGTGTAATTTTGCAGCAAGATGGTCCATTTACTTGCAACCTGTGCTGGAAAGTCTTTAAAAAGCAAAGTCATCTTCACCAGCACCAGATTATACATACTGGGGAAAAGCCTTTTAGCTGTAACATATGTGAAAAAAGTTTCAATCGCCGTGAAAGCTTAAAGCGCCACGTGAAGACACACTCCAACTCACTGAAGGTTCAGTGTGAGGTGTGCGGCAAAGCCTTCCGCGACACTACTTATTTATTAAAGCACCAAGCTACCCATACTGGTGAACGACCAGACTACAAGTGTGATGTGTGCGGAAAATCATATGCTGCTCCACAGAGTCTTTTAAGACACAAACATGTGCATGAGGCCAGTCTTTCATTGCCACAGTCATTGGTGCCACAACAACAAGCAATTCATGTGGATGTCAAGGAAGCAGTTGCAGCAGTCCCCTATGAAACTACAACGCTCCTTACCACAGATGTTGCCCAAGCCGACCAAGCAGCTATCAGTGTTATTGAAAGAATTGGATCTGTTTTTGCTCAGCCCTCTCCTCGTAGACAATCATCTATCTCAAGTAATATAAGCAAAAACTTCTGCTGTAATGTATGTGGACGTGGTTTCGGTAGGCGAGAAACCCTAAAGCGTCATGAACGGATCCACACTGGTGAGAAGCCACACCAGTGTTCAGTTTGTGGCAAGAGGTTCAGAGAATCTTTCCATCTTACTAAACATCATGTAGTACACACACGTGAACGGCCCTACAAATGTGAGCTGTGTGGCAAGGTTTTTGGCTATCCCCAGAGCTTGACACGCCACAAGCAGATTCATAGGCTTCAGTTGCCTTGCACAGTACCAACAGGAGCCCTGCCCCCTGATCGACTTAGCTTTGGATGCACAGATTGCGGAGAGAGGTTCCCAGACTCCTTTCACCTAATGAATCATAAAGAACTGCACATGAGTGAAAAGCCCTATGTTTGTGATACGTGTGGAAAATGTTTTGGCTTCATTGAAAACCTGATGTGGCACAAACTTGTCCACCAAACAGCTACAGAACGCCTACTTCCAAGTGTAAGCCAGTGTCAAGAAGAAACTGAAAGCAATCAAGCAAACTGTATGCAAAATAGCCTTACAAATGAAGTAGTCCCAATATCAGTAGCAACAGCTACTTCCAGTGGACAAGTGAATTCTACATCGGACGAGCACCCAATGATACCTAGTGGGGAGAGATTTTCATGCAGTATTTGTGGTCAGAGTTTCAAGCACTTCCTGGGTTTGGTAACCCATAAATATGTGCACTTAGTCAGGCGCACTCTAGCTTGCAATGTCTGTGGGCAAAGCTTTGCAGGAGCATATGACTTACTGCTTCATCGTCGTAGCCACTTGCAAAAGAGACATTTCATATGTTCTTTATGCGGTAAGCGCTTCTGGGAAGCAACGCTACTCATGCGCCATCAACGCTGCCATACAGAGGAGCGACCTTACCGATGCACGATATGTGGACGTGGTTTCTTACATTCATGGTATCTTCGTCAGCACAAAGTTGTGCACACCGGTGAGCGAGCATACAAGTGTGCCTTGTGCAACAAACGTTTTGCCCAGTCCTCCAGTTTAGCAGAACATCAGAGACTACACATTGTGGCACGCCCTCAACGATGCCCAACCTGTGGTAAAACGTTTCGCTACCGCTCCAATCTCTTGGAACACCAGAGAGTGCATCTTGGTGAAAAGGTTTACCGGTGCGATCAGTGTGGTAAGAGCTTCTTCTACATTTCATCCATCTTGCGTCATCAAAGATCTCATGATGCAAAACCAGACCTTCGTTGTTCCTGTTGCCTCAAACTGTTTAAGGATCCAAAGTATTTCAGCAAACATGTACAAGCCCATCAAGGAGAACGTCCCTTTAAATGTGGAACATGTGGTGAGGCTTTCAGCAATACGTATGGACTAAAGAAGCATAGGTATGCACATAAAATGGAAAAACTTAATGCAGTGGCAACACTTGTTGAAGGACAGAAGACTTCTCAACCAACAGGAACTTAAGTACATTTTATAAAACATTTCCTTTTATCTCTAAAATCAATGAAGTTTATGTGTTCTGTAATCAGCCACGTGGTTGGTCCTATCTTGGTTTTAATAAAGAATACTTAAAGAATATTTAACTGTAACACTGGGTATTCAAAGTTTTGAGCACCAATAATGACACAATGTATGTGAAGCCATTCAGATATATATTATCTGTGAATTATTGCAGTGCTTTCCTGTACTCAGTTTAATAATATTTAATTGTTAGTGTTTAAAGTACCTACCGTATATCTTCCACGTGCTTTATTAAATTCCTAATATGAGTTGTTTCTCTCTGCTTGATATGGAGCACAGTGATGACAATGCTGTTGTACAGGTATATCTGTTACAAAGGGATGCACAAAAATATTACTTCATGTAATAATATGAGAAACAAAAAATTTATTTTGACAAATCTAAAGTGCTATAAAAACACATTTTGGTCCATCTTCCCAGAAGGAGTTTGTCCCCCATCTCCTCAGCTTTATTTTTGGCCAACGAAGGCTTCCCCTCACAGTGGTGGCCCATTAGGGAGCCTAGGTGACCAGGAGCATGGGGCAGGCACTTGACCAAGAAAGTTCAAGTCAGTATGTACATACCAGCAGAGGACCTAGGTTTGCAGTTTTTTGGGCGTTCCTGGAATCTGAATTTTGCGTCTGCTTTAACTTGCGGTTTCATAATAGACGCAGTTCAAAAAAAAAACCAACACTGCATATTTGCTTCAGTTTTTTGACAACTTAGGGGCTTCTATCATAACCTCATGTAGATACCCTTCTTTTCTGCTATGGCAATGTTTTTGCTCCTGAGTTTCTAGCAATACACCACCAGTTGAGGTCATAGTAAGGGCTGTCACTCTCCTGTTGCAGAAAAAAAAAAAAAAAAAGCAGAGGGAGGCACTGCAGTAGATTGCATAATCTCTCTAGTGGTCAGGGACAAAGCTAGAATCTCCACCCAGTTTGCACCAACCAAACGTTTGCTCATGGGAACTATTAGCAGGGGTTAATGTTCTCTTTGCACAGTGTAAATTAAGTACTCTTGCGAGAACAAAACTGTGTACAAACCACATTCAGGTGCCGAAGAAGCAAGTTTTTTACAGTAGCTTTGGCATGGCTGCGACATGTCCATTTCCCATAGAACTATTGAACATAATTTTTTTTTTTTTTAAATATACATTGGGACCAGCAGTGTGTCAATCTCATGATTATTTTAGGTTGAAGAAAAAATTCTGAGAGAATAGATAGCCTGCCATTGGTGGCATCTCCTGAAAATGACGGTTCCCTAGCTTTCGAATATATCTAAAGATATATATATTTTTTAATTATTTTATAATAAGGGATTGTTGAAACAGATTTTTTTTTTCTTGCCTGTGTCTCATTAGGGTGATTTTCCTTCACTTCCTGCCCTGTAGACTCAATAAGAAGTTAGAGGATATTTTCCAAATCTGAGGCAAATCCTCTTAGATATTTACAATAGGAACAAGCATCCCGCCTGGAAGACTACCCTTCTATTACGCTGGTGGTGGCAACTCAGAATTTTATATTTACTATCACTTTCATTTTTGGAGATATTGTTGAGCATATTAGAGAGATTGAAGCTCTCTAACAGGGACACAGACAGTAACAAAAACCTGACAATGGTCAAACTCACTATTCTAAACCTCAAAAAAGTAATGCTTTTAGCAACACCTTGGCAATCTCAACCGATTGTTATTTATCTCAGCATGTTTCCTTTTAGGATCTTTTAAAGCACTATTACAGTAAAATTCAATTATGTGAGAAATTGCATAGAAAATCTGATTGTTTGAAATGTCACAGCTATCTGGATTAGAACCTTTCATGAAGAATTTAAAATAACTAGAAAAAACTCCATTTAAGGAGGCTTGGAAAAAACAAGAAGTATTAAAGTGTAGTGAAAAAGTGTGTTAAACTCATTGTTGGTTACAATGTATTGGGTTAGTAACTTGTTTAAAAGCAGATGCTGAATATTCATGTTCCTGTGCCGAACGTGAGACTGGGGATCATTTGGTTGCTCTGTTGCAGAAGTGAACCTGAAAGCATAAGCTTCCATTTGCACTATAAAATAAAGTACTACTAATGAAGGGTGTCCCATGTGCGGCTGCTGCTGTGTTTGGTAAAACTCCTTTTTTTCAGTTGGCACGCTAATGGTGATCACAATCTCTGGTGCTGAGGGTTACAGTTCTGGCTCGAGTACAGTTCTCACACTGGGGCACTTGCTTGCCACCTCTTTCGGGAGAAGTCTTGCATTGTTTTTACAGAATAGAAGACTTTTTGTAATTGGATGAGCTAAAACTGACAATCATCTTCCATTCACAGAAAACCTTGTAATCTGTGAAAAGGATTCAAGACTTTTCTAAATGTAAGAGGTGCTGAGATGAGAAAAGTTGAAAAGTGCACATTGATTCAGTGGTGGTAAATACAGAAGCACTATAAGTAAATAATAGGCAGAGCACTCCAAACAGCTGACGTTTTGTCTGTATATGATACTTTCATTCATAAATATATGAAAATCAAAACAGTACACCCACATCTCCCCACAATTCTTGTATCTAGACAAAGACGAACTCTCAACTACAAGCAACACATGCATTTTCATTAGCACAGGGAGGAGCTGTGGGCTAATTGTACAACAATTATCAAACATCAGTGCACAAGGATAGATACCAGAAAAATCCTTCAGCTGACATGCAGACATTCAAGTAGAGGTAGGAATCACGTCTCAGAGTAAAAACCCATATCTCAAGTGAGATTCACCTGGTGATGAATTGTGAGTTAACCCCACACAAAAGATATATGAAACAGTCCAATCTGCTGGGGAAACAGTCCACACCATGAATAATTCCAAAATATGTGCCAAGGGAAATCCAGATTGTGTTTACACACCAGAAAAGATCTCCACCACTGAAGGCTTACCAGAAGTGTATGACTCCCAACTTCTAAAGAAGTCATATACTGAATAGCATGTGGGAATAATGGTCAGCAAAAGGCAAAGCTTTCAACTTTTGTTTACCAATAAAAATGTACTTACAAGTAAAAGAAGATTCACTGTGCAGTAAAAATGACAATCTGGACCGGCTAAACCTCACTTCCGGGGCTGGTCCTGGAAACCTGTGCCTTAGTTGTGATAGCTTGTTCCAAGCAGGTAAAAACATATGTCTTGCATGGGACTGATGTCCATGCAGATGCACAGAGCACTTTTGCTGCCTAGTTTGGATGCTGATGCTTTTTTTCAAGGAGTATATGATCGCAATGACCTTCGTGCGGGACTGTCTACTTTGAGAACCTGTGTCATTGCTAATCACAGTGTCAAGAACAGAGTGTGCTCCTACAGGAGATGTTGGAGCTAGCCCTCCCTTCTTCAACTTTGGAAGCGGGTAGCCATAGACCTTCAGTTGTATCTGTAAATGTGGACAGGATCAATAAAAAACTTACTGGTGGGTTATTAACCCAAATGTGAGCTAAAAAAAATTAGAAAAGGATAATGGGTGGTCAAGGGTGGCCCACTGGCTAACCCCTTGGATCTGGCACCTTCAATTGCCCCTCACTGTCCTTGTGCTATTGCACAAACCAGTACAACTCCCTACATGCCAATTGTACCTGTCCTTTTGGGAACTCTTGTGGAGCTTTACCCCATCTGAGTTACTACTTTCCTTTGCAGAGAAATCCTGTATGCTTGGATACTGTTGAATCCATGTGCCCATATTAGGTCAATGATGTCAAAGGCATCCCCGCCCCTTTTGTGTATGTGAAGCTGCAGGGCAGGGAATTTCCCACCCACCGCTCATTGGCCCCACACTGCCACATGCCTTTTGAGTATGAACCAAACCCAAGTTCAGTGTCCTTTGGATGTCCATGCTACTTTTCAGAGTGGTACCTTATGACCATGGCAAGATCTAGGGGGGTGGTGAGGTGGGCTGCACCCCCCCCAGATTTCACTTGTGCTGTCATCCTATCAGAACAGTGATCATCCAAGCAGCAGGTGACACAGGACGGCCCTTCATCGGGCTGTACACACAGGAGTGCAGGGCTTAATCTCTGGAAGCATAGAGAACACAGGAAGCAGACACTGCACTTAAAGCAGAAGGCACCAATTGGCAGTAAAATTCAGATAAGACATTGCTGTAAAAATGGCAGAGTAGACTTACTAGGCATCTTATAGGATGATGCCCTTAACTCAACATGATTCTGTATACCTAACAGTTTAAAAAAATCCTTTGCATAGTGTTACCTAAAGACCATACAAAGTATAACAACATGGCTAAAATATAGGAAGGAAGTATCATCCTAAAAGAATTCATGGAAATAACAGAATTTTGAAATCCAGATGTCTGAATAATAGGAAGGAAGTACCTTCAGGTGATTGGACACCGGCAATCAAAATGTTATGAGGACCCCCATGCAATCCATCCCACTCCCAGCAATCCTCAGTTCTGTATCAAACAAACAATCAAGACCATAGAGGGGAAGGTGTCCTGTACTGTACTCTGAAAAATGGTGTTTACAAATAAGTAAATAAAAAAAAAAAAAAAAAATTCTTGCTCATACAGTACAGGATACAAGCAGATTCAGAGATGACTGGGACTTATCCAAGCAATACCAATGAAGGCAGGATAAAACAGCAACAAAAACCAGACAACATACCCCTCAGGAACATCACAAAGGGCCCAAAACAGCAGCTTAAAAGCACATTGCAGCCAAAATTAGTATCTGCCAATTTTGTGAACCAGCCTATGTGGCAGCCTTACAAATTTGCAACACAAATCTGCAACACAAATCAAGCTTGATGTTGAAAAGCCCAGGATACACTAATGGATCTAGCAGAATGGGCCTTCACCTGGAAAGGGAGGATCCCTATCCGTTGCCAAGTTGGGTGCCTGAGGCAAGATCCAGTACCTGAAGCACCTTTACATGCCATCTCTGAATCCTCTCGACGATACAGCCCCCAAGGATAGTGAGGACGTT